CCCCATGGACCAGAGCACGCCCGGCACTCCTGTCTTCCACTGCCTCCCGCAGTTTGGTCAGACTCATGTTGGTAGCTTCGAGAACACTGTCCAACCATCTCGTCCTCTGTCGTCCCCTTCTCCTTGTGCCCTCCATCTTTCCCAACATCAGGGTCTTTTCCAGGAGTCTTCTCTTCTCATGAGGTGGCCAAAGTATTGGAGCCTCAGCTTCACGATCTGTCCTTCCAGTGAGCACTCAGGGCTGATTTCCTTAAGAATGGATACGTTTGATCTTCTTGCAGTCCATGGGACTCTCAAGAGTCTCCTCCAGCACCATAATTCAAAAGAATCAATTCTTCGGCGATCAGCCTTCTTTATGGTCCAGCTCTCACTGCATGAGCTCCCTTGAAATGAAGGTGAAGGCACACAGAAGCATTGCTATGCAAAGTGCCATATTGCAAGGTTTGAGTGTCTATGAGTGTGTCAACCTCCTTTGTAACTGACTCTTTCTTCAACTGATCAGTTCTCATGCAGGACTATGCCTTCAGCAAGTATTTGTCCTTCTCTCCAATACATACTGCAAAATAAACAAATGCACTGAATAATTGTATCATATAAACTGATCTATATCACCCTGCTACCTAAGGTTTATTTAACTGGAAGGATCAGGGACTAAATGTTCAACCTTTAGTATGCAATGTATGTCTTCTTCCACCACGAGGCCTCGCTTAGTATCTAAAACAGTGCAAAGTACTACTAAGTACAGTGGTACCTCAGGTTACAGACACTTCAGGTTACAGACTCCGCTAACCCAGAAATAGTACCTCAGGTTAAGAACTTTGCTTCAGGATGAGAACAGAAATCATGTGGTGGCAGCGCAGCGGCAGCGGGAGGCCCCATTAGCTAAAGTGGTGTCTCAGGTTAAGAACAGTTTCAGGTTAAGAACAGACCTCCAGAACGAATTAAGTACTTAACCCGAGGTACCACTGTAATGCCTTCCATCAATGCAAGGATTTCTGCATCCACAGTGGGACTTCTCCACACTTCTTCCCCATCATGCATCCCCTAGAACAGATTTAGGCATTCCTCAAATTCTCTGGAGCAGATTTGGGGAGGGTATGGGATGTGCATTGGTGAAGGAGGGAGGAAAGTCATGTGTCACAAGTGGAAATCCTTGCACTGTTGAGATGCATCAGTTGGATACCACCCATACTCTCTTGTAGAGTAGACTATGTAAACTTGTAGGCATCTGTCAACCTTGAGAGACAATCAGGGTCAGATTTAGGTTTGATGAGGCCCTAAGCTACTGAAGGTAATGGGGTCCTTTATATGTCCAGCTGTCCTTTGTCAACAACAAATTGTCGCTGGTTTTGGTGTTGAATATATGCTATATGGTAATTTATGGATCTAATAGGTATCTAAAGCCATTTGCACATGCAGAATGTAGGCACCCTATATATAGAAATGAGAAAACCAGTGATATTTTATGGAGTAGGCTAGCAGGCTGGGCCCATTACTTACATCATAGGAGCCTACACAACACAAAACACTGTTGCTGTATGTAGGTTTTATTTCATTTCTTTTTATCTTATATTTTGGAAATGTACGTCCAGGGTTTTTTTCCTTAAAATTTTTTTGGGGCCCCCAAGAGATTGGGGCCCTAAGCTATAGCTTATTTAGCTTATATGTAAATCCAGCACTGTTTCAGACAATGGATTGCACCTCCGGGGGTGAAGTTAAACTTCTGTGTTAGCAGCACCTGTGACCTCCCCAGGGTCCAAGCCTGGACATTGTGTATGGAGGTCCTGGGCTGCCCTGACAGAAAGGCCCCCCTCTCAGCTTCACTGATGTGGTCCAAAGGAAAGCAGAGCAATACATCTGGCACGTGCTTGGCCGCAAGACTTGCCAGAAGGAGCCATGCAAGGTGCCATCCAGCTATCCTTGGGGCTCCACTCTGGATTTGTGTAGGGTTTACTCCTTAACCTTTTTATCTCCCAAAGATATCTTACAAGGCAGCGGAAGTTTAGGATCCTTCTCCTAGAAGGGTTGCCTTCCCCCATCTGCCCCCTCTACAGCATGTGCAGAAACCACCTTCTTGTCCATTAGACCCACTACAGTGGTACCTTGGGTTACAGACACTTCAGGTTACAGATTCAAGTTACAGACTCCGCTAACCCAGAAATAGTACCTTGGGTTAAGAACTTTGCTTCAGGATGAGAACAGAAATCGTGCTCCGGCGGCGCGGCAGCAGCAGGAGGCCCCATTAGCTAAAGTGGTACCTCAGGTTAAGAACAGTTTCAGGTTAAGAATGGACCTCCGGAACAAATTAAGTTCTTAACCCGAGGTACCACTGTATTGGTCTCATCCGATCAATTTGCCGGAGCCTGTCTGCTCTTGCAGGAGAAGGCCCTAACTCACTGAGACCAATTGACTACCCCCACCTGGTTTAGCCAGCCAGTTGAAGCCATTCCCAAGGTGTTGCTGCCGTCACATGCTGACAGCTTCTAGGAGCCACAGGTGAGAGCTGAGAGTGTATGGGGTGTTAGGAGATGGGTAGTACATCTGGTGGGGGATACATTGTGTTCCTTCTGGGGTAGTTTGTCAACCTTTGGTCCTCGCACTGCACTCAGCTCTCACTATGTAAACTATGGCTGACTTCTTGGAAGAGTTTGAGTTCCTCAGCATATTTGGTTATTGACAATGTATTCACCTGTGAGTCTGGTCATCAAAGCAGTAGCTTTTCCATCTGGGAATGATGCATAGCTTATTAATGATACAAAGCATCTTTGAAATCTCAAACAGGCCTCATAAGTGGCATTGCTTGCTGTGTGACAATGGCAAGAAACGGCAGCTTTCACTTTGGGATATCAGAGTTTCATAAATATAATGTGACATGTTTGCTTTCCTTTTCCTGAGATGTTTGTGAAAAACCCATCTGCAATTCCCCATCCACTGGAGAAGTGGCTCGTATCTGATCTTCAGCAAAGCAGACTGCGGTTGGCTTCGGCCTCGTCTGCTAAGATCCAACAGCAAAAGAAAAGCAATGATGAAACCAATTAAGCATGAATGTGCACATTTCAGCAGCAGTGATTTCAGGATAGAGACATTGTCAAAGTTTGTAACCGTCGAGTTTGGAATTTGAATTTGTTCAGCTGGTAATGCCATCTATAAAACAAACTGAGCACAGCATCGTCAGGAAGTAGTTTTCTTGCTCAGAATGTAAAACAAGTATCTGACGACTGGCCAGGCTGCTTTCTAGATATGTGATGAAAAGTTATTCAGTGTTAGCCCCTTGCTTTCACTGAAGCTGCCTTGGGTTGCTGCACATAACACATACCCTCCAATTAAGTGTCTCTATTTTCCTGAGACAGTCCTAGAATGATGAATAATAATAACAATAATAATTTATTATTTATACCCCGCCCATCTGCCTGGGTTTCCCCAGCCACTCTGGGCGGCTTCCAACCAAATATTAAAAACAATACAGTGTCAGACATTAAAAACTTCCCTAAACAAGGCCACCTTCAGTTGTCTTTTAAAAGTATTGCCTTGACATCTGCTGGGAGGGCGTTCCACAGGGCAGGCACCACTACTGAGAAGGCCCTCTGCCTGGTTCCCTGTAACCTCACTTCTCACAGCGAGGGAACTGCCAGAAGGCCCTCGGAGCTGGACCTCAGTGTCCGGGCTGGATGATGGGAGTGGAGATGCTCCTTCAGGTATATAGGACCAAGGCCATCCTGGCTTCTGATTTGATCTTGGAATTTCCCTATTCCCCCTGCCAGCTTCACCAAACCCCTGCAACGGGGTGAGCTCCCATTGCTCGGTCCCTGCTCCTGCAACCTAGCAGTTCAAAAGCATGTCAAAGTGCAAGTAGATAAATAGGTACCGCTCCGGCGGGAAGGTAAACGGCGTTTCTGTGCGCTGCTCTGGTTCGCCAGAAGCGGCTTAGTCATGCTGGCCACATGACCCGGAAGCTGTACGCCGGCTCGCTCGGCCAATAAAGCGAGATGAGCGCCGCAACCCCAGAGTCGTCCGTGACTGGACCTAACAGTCAGGGGTCCCTTTACCTTTACATGTCCACTCACTCTCATCTGTGCACCTCACTCATACAGAATCTCCAATACAGGCTGATTCTGCCAACCTTTCTAGCACCACAGCAAGCACAAGGCAGCACGGCACATATAAACACAACAGCTCATGCCAGACTTCTGCCCCAGGAAACCCTTAATTATTAATTGTTACAATTCACCGGGAGGAGAAGCAAGCAAGCAAAAAAGAAACGCAACGTCACTTGCCCTCATTACTGGTCCACATTTATTTATTTATTTCTGGGCAGCCTTCCAGAAGCCACAGGCCAGAGGTGTCAGGGCCAGAGGTAAAAGGGAGCAGATAAAGTAAAACTTGGCTTTTATACAGTAGGCTAGTTTCTGCACACACTCACCAACAACTCTCCATCCAGCAAGCAAGAATTATTGTCGTGGTTCAAGGATACGTTGCACCTGGCCCCAAACACTCAAGGGGAGAACAAAGAAGGGCCAGTAAGAGAGGTTTGTGGAGAGTCTTAGAGGCCAGCCAGAGAGGATTGTGGGGGTGCATTTGGCCCTGGGTATGAAGTTCCCCATTCCTGCTCTTTAGCAAGATTGCCATATACATTGCAGGGATAATGCAGGCCAGTTTGATCACAAGGGCCGGCTTCTGGAATCATAGAATTATAGAGCTGGAAGGGATCAGCCCTCTGCAATGATGGGATCTCAGCTGAAGCATCCATGGCAGATGGCCATCCAACCTCTGCTTGAAAACCTCTAAGGAAGGAGAGTCCACAACCTCCCAAGGGAGACTGCTCCACTTAAAACAGCTCTTACTGTCAGAAAGTTCTTCCTGACATTTAGTCGCAATCTCCTTTATTTTATTCTATTCTATTCTATTCTATTCTATTCTATTTTAAAATTGCAAAAAGCTGTATTTTTTCTAGTACTTTTATTTCTGTTTTTATTTTTGCATACCAGTTATCAGAGGAAAACGCAAACGCAATCCCCGCATTTGGGGAAATCGCAGGGGTCAGCACACCCATAGTGCAATGGATGATCCTCACCTTGGGAAAACCTCCTTCATGATCAAGGTGTCTCCCCCACTATCGGAATCTCCTTTCTTGTAGCTTGAAGCCATGGGTTCGAGTCCTACCCTCCAGAGCAGGAGAAAGCAAGCTTGCTCCATCATCCGTGAGATAGCCTTCTTCAAATATATAAAGGGCTATTATATCTCTTCTCGGTCTCTTTTTCCCCAGGCTAAACTTGCCCAACTCCTTCAACCATTCCTCATAAGGCTTGGTTTCCAGGACCTTGGTCATCTTGGTTGCCCTCCTCTGCACACATTCCAACTTGTCAATGTCCTCCTTAACTTGTGGCGCCTAGAACTGGACACAGTATTCCAGGTGTGGTCTGACCAAGGCAGAGCAGAGTGGTACTAATACGTCCTCAGACTGTGTTCAAAGCGTAGCCAGGGAGTAGGTATGAATCTTTACAATGTATGGTTAGGGACAGCATATTCTGGAAAGCAAAACCTTTTAACAATATGCAAGGCCGCCATGATTACAAAATTAATACATTTATTAAGTTCATATAAATGTCACCTGCTGACCATCATAACCATTTTTCTTTAGGGAACATGAATGGACAGGCATTTATTAATTTAGCATGTACAGATAACACTAAATTCAGCAAGTATTGAAAAAAAATCAATGAACTTAAAAGTGTGTTTTTTAAACTTCTATTTTGCAATAAGCTGTTCTCTTTAGAAGGGCCTCTTTGCAAAACAGAAGTAATTAAACAAGATTTAGAAACTCATTTGTATTTTAAAACATTCTTAAATGGAGATAAATAATGTATTTTTGCTGGAGAAAAAACTGTACCAGCTAAATGTAATTTATTACTTTGTTTAGTTTCTCAATAATGTGCTGTTCATCAAAAGGCAGCAAGAAAAATCCATCTCCTGAAGTCATAATACATGTGCCGGAACTAATTGTAGCACACAGGAAAATCCATTTCAGATTCCAGAAAGTGTTTTCATGTCTGGAATATAAAAGAAAAACAGTTAAGCTCAAATATGTGCACTTGAACCCAGTGCTTGATTTCTAAACAAAGACAAACTGGACTTCAAGCCAGCCTCATCCCAGATGTATTATTATGATTATCACCATTGGTTTATTAATTGCCTCCCAAACAACCATATCAAGGCAAATTACACATAGGATTATTTAAAACAGAACACAAAGGCATGAAATATGTTTGAAACAAAACTGAACCCTTAAGAACAAAGATATTCATGGTAAAGACCCATTCTGAGAGCAAATGCAAAATGCAGATATAAGTCCTAGGGGTGGAGCAGTTTGATTC